CTGCTAAAGCCTCAAGCTCTCTGTGTTGTGCTTCTTTTCTCATGTAATCCCTTATTATTTACTCCAAAGAGGGTTCCTCTTAAAACACAAACATCAGAGGTTACCACACTTGTTTTCCCTCAGGAACATGCGTACGAGGTGCACTCCAATTGTCTCAATCTGTGTGAGATATGCAAGTGAAAGAACCATATTCCTATTATTAACACCATCTTTTTCTTCCCACCTACATTAAAACAAAACACACTGGAAGACTTACAGTAGTTCATTCATTAACAGAAGAGATCTACTGTACCCAAAGCTCAGGTTATATTAAGAGAGGGTCAGTGCATTCTTGCTGAAGCTTTTGAAGTTCATACTTCATTAAGTTACACGGCATTTTGGCGTGGAATTGAGAGCTCTCGTCTCTATCAAAACTCTCTCAGAGAAACTCTGAGGGTTACACAGCTCCTAAGTGGCAATTTATACAAGAGACTCAGTCCACAGACTGATTAAAGACCAAAGTCAACGGGAGCGCCTTTATCAATTAAGTGCTTGCCCTCCCATACATTCACTAGGTATGACACATTTAGCTTTGTCATCTCAAATAACGTAGGCACACCTTAGACAAACTGTGCATAGAAGGAGCGCTGTGATTTAGAACAAGTTCATTCCTTTTAATCAAAAAGGAAAAAAAAAAAAAGGCAGTGATGCATCATCCTTCCCCAGCTGCTAATCTTTTCCATTTCACACCCACTGATCATTATCATTGCAAAAAAAAACCACACACCCGTCTTAAAGGTGGATCTAAAGTTGTAGTCTTGGTAGTAAAAGTCTTGGTAGTAACAGAGAGAAGATGGCAGAAGATGACACTGCTTCACACCTCATCCCCGCACATCACCTCAGTCTGGTCTGACACTTTCATACCTGGTACCACTCTCAGGTTTTACTTCTAGAAAACAACATGGACTTCAGAGTGGCAGAAAATGTGAATGGATTTAAAAGAAGAAGTCAATAACATTACAATAACCCTAGAGCTAGCAGCCAGCAAGGCTGAGATCAGAAGCCATGAAGGCTCTTCTGAATTAAGATTACTGGGACATTATGCAACTGATTTGATCGCAGTCATTTACTTGTGTGCACTCTGTATTTACCAGTTTGGTTAGAAAGCGAGACGTGGCCTGTGATCCTTGATGCATTTGTACTTAAATCTCCTGCTGGATACCCCACTGGACTCCCAATTAATGACAGCATTTATACAAAGATCACCACTTTGCTTCCACTAAGCTCTTTCCTATTTCCTTTCTCTCACTACGATTTTAGCCTCAGTCACATTTCAGTGAAGTGATTGATCGCAGCTACTTAATTTACAAACAGAGAACTTCACTAATTTATTACAATAAAATAAAAACACTTAAAAGTAAGCCTCTGTTACTTAGAGCAATGCTGATCCTTTTTTTCCTATCCACATACTCTTGACGAATTAAATATTCCAATAATACCCCAGCAAGAGCTAGGCAGTACCCTACAATGCTCAAGTTGAAATTCTGACATGTTACTGGAGATATTCAGCTTATTCAAAAGGGTGAAGATGAAAGAGGTCATGTCAGGTATCCACTGAAAGCAAACAAAACATGACTTCCTGGATCCCATGAATGCCAGAGTTCTGCAACTTCCCCACTCCACCCTGAGCCCTGGCAGCACATGGAGCATCTCAGTCTTTCATTTGGGTTTTTGGATGCACAAAGGCCCAGAAAGAGCAGGAGCAAGATTTGAAACATTGTCCTACATCCCTCCCTCATGCTTGATAGAGCTCCCATACCAGTGGGACAGCTCTGAAGTACAAGAGGGATACAGGTGAGGCCACTTTCAGATTTAACATGATACCTGAGCACCAATAGAGATGTTCCCCAATACTGTCCCAGGACAGCTCAGCCACATGGACTTGTTAGCAAATCCTGCAGTAAAGTACAGTTGAAGAAACCCACGTATGTTAAAAATGTTCATAGAGCAACTCTTCCACAGAATATCCACAGGCACACCAAAGCCTCCATATAAAGTCTGACCAATACAAATAACATATTAGGGAAAAAAACACCCCCCAAAAAACACAAATCAAAAAACAACAAGAACAGAAGAATACCAGCAACAAAAAACAGACATCCCAGCCAAGCAGCAGCTCCTTTTCACAACCTTGAGCAATGCCAGTGAAAAAGCCAGGAGATGAATAAATCCTGGTCCTTGCTACAGCCCTACGTGCGATGCAGATTACAGCTCTAGAAACTATCGCTGCATTGAAGCCAAGTTTGCACGACAAGGTGTAGGACCACTGCTTTACAAAGAGACGTGAATCCTTCATCACAGCTGCACGAACACAGCAGACCTTATTAAGGACTTCCCAGCTCTGCTGCCCTGGCTCTTCAGAACCCAACTGCTGGCAGCAAGGCAGAGCTAAGGTTTGTCCCCCAGTAAGCAGCTTTAGAAAGGAGGTAAGGTTTGGATATCTTTCTTTCCAATTCACACAATCCTGGGCCAAAGGCGCCACCGTATTTAAACACAACTGAGTGCTGACAGCCATGCAGCTCGGGTAGCTGCTGGCCTGGCGTTAAGTGTCTCGCGCTGCGCCGAACTTGCACTGCGCTATATCAAGGAATGCATAGCTGTCCTATCTCTCCTGGCACCAGCTCCTCTGCCTTGTGACCATGCTGCTGACAAACCAGGAGCAGCACCGAGCTCATCCCTATATTAGAGCATATGTGGAAGTTCTGCGTTTTCTATCACTCGCAAAATTTTGGTCTCCAGTAGATTCAACACCTCAGGTTCCCAGTTTGTCTTTTGTAATTATGAAGATACAAGTCCAGGCAATCTGTTGATCATCAGATAAGGAGTAACGTGCTACAAGCTGATAGACTTCCAGGAATAGATCTGGGGACATCATCTTTTTTTTTTTTAGCTTCTCCATTCAAAAGTAGATCACTGAAATTGCTGCAGTCAGATTTTTCTAAGGCATTTTAGCATTATTTCTGTGCATTAGCCCAAGTCTGCACTTTACGTGGAGCTTTCAGGATGAAACTCATGAAAGATTCAAATTAAATAAATAACTTTGAATCTAACCTATTGATTTAAAAGAGAAAATGTATGAAGGATGCACTGCAAAGGTCCCAAGCACAAAAGGGTAAAACCTGGGGGAAGCAACATTCCTGAAAGTAGGCAAATGAAGAGAGATTCCCTGATGTGTTTGTATTGCCTGCCATTTCCAGTCATCTATTTCACAGAGCTGTAATTAATTATGGAGAAATTCATTGGACACTGATCTCAGCTTCCTGAAAACAAGCTGGAGGAGGAATCCATGCAAGGAAAGCAGAGTTATCACTGCTCTGAACAAGGTTTGGTATTCACCTGCTAACAGGCCAGCCTTTGAAAAAAGAAAAATACCAGGAAAATGTATTTTCCTTTATGTTCTGCTCACCTCACACAGTTCTCAGATGAGCTGAACCAATTCACACCTCCAGGAACACAGCAACTAATTTTAAAATTTGCATAACATCAACACTCAAAGGAAATAGGAAGATTAAATATCTAGTTTTTAAGGTTGATGAGTTTCTTTTTGTTTTCCCCTCTTCCTTAAGCCACCAAGATTTGTTTGTTTTGAGAGGGATCTGATCTGCATAGACACCTGGTCATGGGATCATAAAGGAGAGAGAAAAAGGAGTCCCTGATGCAGAAATAATGTTGCCATGAACTTATTCCCATCTGAAAGAAAAAAAAACAATACTGAGTGCTGTACAATCATTGTTTCCCACTGGGCAAAGTTTGACCTCAGCCAAGTCCTCCTCACAGTCACGTGGGGAAGAGGACTTCTAAATCAGCCACTGAAATACGTATTGAATGCAAAGCTACACAAAATGGTGGGAAAGTAAACTGAGTCAGAAGATAAGACTGGGAAAACAAAGCCTCCTGATCTGTTAAGGCATACCCTGCCCAACAGACATAAGAATAATTTTATCCTGCTTTCTACCATTCATACATTTTTACTGTAGCATCTGCAGAACATGTTTATACATAAGTCTGTTTTGTTTTTTTTTTAAACAAACCTAAACGTTTAAATAAAAGTTTATTCAAAGTCACTCTGTTCAGCACGTTTGTGTTTGAACAGACTTCAGTCTGATCTGAGCTCCATAACAAAACACAACATGGCATTCTACTGCAGGAAGGCTGTTTTGCTCAAGTCAAATCATCCTACTTGGTGTTCATCTTCCTCCCAGCACACACAGCACAGTAAGTACAGAATGAATTCTAATGCACACAGCTTCCAGGTGGTAATGAAGCGTACACAAAACTTGAAAAATTCCATGAAATTAAAAGGTCAGTAAGTTCACTATTTACCACAAACAATGCTTTCCAAGCTACAGCTCATTTACCTGATGTGAGAGTTTCCTATTCCTCCTGCAAAGAACTACATTAGTAAGCAATTTTTCCTCCCAGCTTTCCACTCTTGCAGCACACAAACCCAGGACAGCTTAGCAGCCCACCCTGCTGTGTGCACAGCAATGTAGAAAGTAAATGGTTACAGCCTTGGCTGGCAGCTTTGGCACAAGTGTCACACACATGCATCCACGCCCACAAATTTGGGTCTAATTTGACAGTCCCCATATTCTGCAACAAAGCTGCTATTCAAGAGCAAAAGGAAGCTTGTTCCCTATTAACACAGCCAGGGAGGCTATGAGCTTGCCACAGTCCATGTCCTGCTGCAGGAGGCTGTCAGCCCAGCCCCAACTGCTTCCAGACGCTCCCTGCCACATTTAAAACCCTGAGCAGAAAAACATCATCAGAGTGAGCTGTGCATTGGATGCTCCATTCTCCACTCCAGTAATTCTTTCTTACAGCCTCTCGACACACCAAGTGAGGAACCAAAAAGCAGGGGGCTCCTGCACTGCGCGGCTACGTGACACCAGCATTACCACGTGCCACAGAACCTCCTTCAAACCGGGTCCTTGGAAGTCAGAAGGACTCAGTAAACTCACCTGAGGGTTATCACTGTGTATTGGCAGTACAACTGAGTGAATACAAGCAATGTCTTTAGGGAGCAGGGAGGAAATGAGCAGAATCTCCATCACTGGTGGTGAGAAGCATTTTACAGGAATAGGAGGAAAGGAAAGAGCTGCTGAAACTTTTTACTCACATATAATGGAGCTTGCTGTGGATTAAGTTTCATGACCTCAGAACACTGAAACAAAAAAGAAAAGACAAATTTAGGACTGTTTTCCATAAAATGTTAAGTACTTCTCCATAAGCTGCATGATGTTACATTTCCAATGTGGTACTAGCATTCTTACATTACTGCTTCTAATAGAAAGTTATGTAAAAAACTATTTTCTGTATTTTCCCTCTTTCAGGTCAACAAGGATCTGCTATTTTTTCATTTATGCAGTTATTAAGCAAAGGCAATTCTAAAACAATTTACTGAGCAAATCAACGTTTGCTTCCCATCTGTTGGCTCTTGTGATATTCCAAAGTGAAACTGGCTTCCCATTCATACACCCCTAAACCCACCCCTCCTCCTAGCAACCTTTGCTTCTTATGACAACGATCAGTCCTTCATTACACATCTGTCCATATATTTCCCTCACTTCCATAAGCTTTCCCATTTCTCCACTGCAGCAGCAAACAGCACAAGCAAAAGCTGTAAGATTCTGTTTAATGCATGTATAAAGCAATCCAAGCTCCTGAGAAAATAATTAAAAACTCAATCTCTGTCATTGCTCATGTCTGCAACGCTGCAGTCTGCACAGCAAGTACTTTAACCCCATTTCAGAAGGAGATGAAGCATCATTCTGCTTTTCTACAAAGAAACAACCTACACAGGATCTTCTTCATTCTTTGTTCCCTTCCAAAACCCCCAGCTTGCCTTTAGTGAGACAGAAATCCAAAAACAGTTGACCTTCTCATAGCTGATTCCAGCTTTTAGTGCTCCCTCACACACTCTCCTCATACTGCAAAGTGCTTTTGCACTGGTTATTCTCAGTGGCTGAGCTACCTGCTGAGCTGCTCAGCCCAACACCATCCTGCTGCAGAAGGTCCCACACCACAGACAGATGAACGCCCCGAAATACTTCTAGATTTATTCAATTCATAGTTATTTTCAGCCTCAAGAGTTCCCTCCAACAGCAAGGATGCCTCAAAATGGTTACACTTGATAGTTTTCCCTACTTCTTTGGATTTACAAAGAATTACTTGCTGGTGAAAAGAAGGGACAAGGAACACAAGCTGTCGTTTGGGCTGGTAAGCTCCAAAAGCAGCTCTGCAAGCAATCCTCCATATGATATGCTCCTGTCACGCCAATCCTACTGAGCTCTCACAAAGAAAAGCAGAAAAAGGGGGGGGGGGGGGGGGGGGGGGGGGGGGGAAAAGGAAAAAAGACTAAAAGATAATTAAAAAAAACCAAAACCAACAGAAGTGCAAACCATGCAAGCCTTGCCAATCTGCCTCATGACCTACCTGAACGTCTCTGCTATTCTGAACATAGACATCTTGAACAGGGGAACCGAAGCAAAACCCAGCTGAGAGCTGTTGTTGTACCTTACAGAGATTAAACCAGAGTTGGACAAACTCCCTTTAAGCCCATCCCGCATTTGAATTTTCACAAAGTCTCACTGCAACAGAGCAGTTCCCTCCTGAAGCAAAATTAAGTCCCGCAGTCTGGCTCAGCAATCTGGTAGCACTTGGATGTGACTTTAAAAAATATATTGCTGCAGAGAAGCAAAACAGTTGTGTCTCAGATGAGAATGTTTAAAGAGAGTTAAGACAAAGCACTGCTTTCTCACCATTTCTTTTCAAGTCATGACAAGTATATGAACTACTTCTCTTTTTGCTCATAAAAGATGCTGTGTGATATACCTTCAAAGTCAACGTGCCTACATTTTTGCATTTATAAAAACTTTCAGGATCACTCTTGATCCCTGAAATTCAGCCATACCTCCACACTGGCTACATTACAACTGGCCTAAGATACAAGTTAGAGAATGTCATATGAAACATTCAGGAGAACAGAACATGACAGGTCTGCATCTCCCCAAGATACAAAATTCTACTCCTCGAGTTCCTCCCCATTCCCAAATAATTAGTTTTACTAAACTCTCATCAGTTATTTTAGCTTCTCAGAAGTCAGCTCCGACGAAAGGAAGTCATTCTAACACACTTGAAGTCATCCTTTCCCCATCATTAAATAACAGCTTTACCTCTTCCACATCAAGGTTCACAGGTATGTTATTGTCACCGCTGTCACCACACAAAATAACTTCTGTGATTTGCAATCAAGTTACAGCTGCAGTTACCCACGATGCCAAAAAAGCAAACATACTCTCAGGGAGCTTGCACCTCATCTTCACCACAGCCGTTTGCTTTGCTGGGACAAAGCTATGGGGCAGGGGCCAACGTGCCCTACAGATACAGGACTGCCATTGCTACCTCCCCATCCTGCTCCTGTTGGCTACACCCAGCCATCAAGTTAACACTTTCAAAAAAGCCCAACCCAAAGCCTCACCAACCAGGCAGGAAGCATCCGCCTGACCCCAGAGTGCTGCTAAAACAGCAGCAGGATTCATTCTGATTTATTTGTCCCACTCCTGGTGCAGGTTTGAGAAGCAGGAGAGCTGCTGACAGAAGGGATTGGGTACGAAGCCAGACCTTTAGTCACCTTTTTTTACTGACAGATTCAGCCTACCCCCTTCCAGCTAAGCCATGGAGGGGCCTTGTCACCATGCTTGGTGTTTGGGCTGCCATGCCATAGCGCTGAGCCACTATGAGCCCCCTCCCCTGCTTTCACAAGTTTTGTGCAAGGTGCCATCCTGACACCTACTGCTAATGCTCCTCACACCTTCATACGCAGCAGAAATTGCAGCTCCTGCGCTCCATCACAATGCTTACTGTCAGATTTACCCAAATTAAGAAGCTGTTACACTGTACATCATGCCCTATACCATCAAATCATTTTTCTTGTAGGTTCCATTGTGCAAACCCTGCACTCAGGCTCCATTACATTTTTTTGTTGTTTGTTTGTTTTTAAATCAGATCACTTTAACAAAGCAGACAAAACAAGCAATATTATGAACTCCCCTTTCAAGATCTTTGGTAGAAACTAGTATAAGAAGTCTGACTGCACTGATGGTGTCAAAGATGTGTACAAAACAGCAACAGTAGAAGGGTATCCTATCAACAGAGCATTTGGATCTTTGCTATTCAAGTAATCATGTGGCCTTGTGTACTCTGACCTCTGCCACCCTACAGAAATGCATATTGCATTGCTTCATCCCCTTCCTGGCAGATGCCTGGCAGCAGCTGAGCAGAGAGAAATAGAAAAAGAACACATGCAGGTCAGGAAAGGAAGGATGGGCTGGTTCCAAACTCCCACAAGATGAGGTTATGCTGTGGGAGAGTTGAGAATCGTTGAAAAGACTGTGGTCACAAGTTGCAGGGGCCAAAAGAAGGCTTCATACCTAAGGAAGTGAAAATACTGACACTGCTCATGAAAGAAAAGGGGATGCCCAGGAGTTCAAACAAATGGCTGGGCTGGTGTGGGATTTTTGTTTGTTTGCAAGAGAAGTTCATTGCAGCAGCAGTGAGGTAAGGTGACAGTGTGACTGTCTTGATGCTTGATCTTGACAAACAAGAAAAATATCTGGAAATACTTCCTGCAGGAAGATTTTCCCCCTTTTATCTTCCTAGAAGTCTTCACATCAATGGCTTAAATGAAACAATTTAATATTTCATAATATATATGTCAGTCCAATTTTTCAAAGTAAACAAACTTCATTTGCAAGGAGACAAGCAAGTTCTGAAGATATTTTATCTTGTTAGGAAGTGCTCTGGCAAACACATATGAAAAAACCAGAGTGACAGATAAGTATGAACGACTGTTTCGCATCAGCAGAGGACTAAAAGTCAGTTTCTGGATGTTAACTTCTCCAGCCAGTGGGTAGGCAGGCAGCCTCCGAAAAAAACAACTTAGGAAAATGAAAAGAAAATGAAAACAAAAGACTGTGATGGTAATTATTAGAGCAAGATTCATAAGGATCCTGATTTAATTTGGACTGCTTTAAATGTAAAATTAAAAAAAAGGGGAGGGGAAGGGAGGGGGGAGGAAGCAAGGCTGTTTGGTGTTGAGAAATACAAAGCTATAAAACATTTTCTTCTGTATTGATTAGAGGAGGACTCATAGGTTAGAGGAGGACTGCTCAGATTAGAGGAACTCATCTTTTGAGTTGATGCCTGCTCTGCTCCCCAGAAAGCAGTTCCTATTTTTTGGACACCTCCCCTATCAGACAATGCAAAGCGCAGAAAGAAAGCCTGGCCCTGTTGTGAGATACGGAGTTGGTCTGCAGCAATAATGAACTGCTTTGAGAGCCAAGCCAACAAGAAAGGGCAAATAACAACCCCACCTCCATCCTTGTTTTAAGGCCTTCAACCTGCTACAGTTCGTGTTGCTAAAATAGAAAAATCACATCCATTGCACCTTCTCCATCATCAAGTCAAGCCAGAAAGAAATGAAGAGTATACTTAGGAGACCCAGACATAAATTCAAGAGAAAACCTCACAGGAAGAGCAGCTCGCTTTCTGCAGGCAGGGCTCACACAGCCTGCACTGAAACATGCTGATGTATTCTGTCAGAAACAATTGTTGCACGCGCTCAACCTAGGATCTGCCTACAGAATCAAAAAGAAAATGACCATCGCAGTTACTGCCTACTGGAAGGGCTCAGCTCTGTCCCCAGATGCTACTTGTCACAGTGCTGGAGCAGGCAATGCGACTGCTCTGAACGCTGACTCGAGGCAGCTTCCCAAGCTGTGATGCACAGAGCCAAACTTTTCCAAGTGAGCAAAAGGAATTTCAGCACCACGCTCCCCGATGCTGGGGGAAGCAGCCCTGCAACCTTTGCACAGACCGAGGCTGTGCTTTGGGTACTGTCATGGCAGCCAGCAACACTGCTTTATGAGCAAGCAGTCACCATGGGTGGAAATAGGAGTGTGAGGACCTGGCTGGTTCTGCTAAGTCTGCAACAGACCAGGTGGTCACAGCACCCAAAATGCAGTCTGCACCCACTAAAATGCATCTCACGGCACCAGGAGTGGCGAGAGCATCT